AGGCTGTAAGTCCAAGATCAAGGAGTCCGCAGGATTGGTTTCTGCTGAAGCCTCTCTCCTTGTCTTGCAGGTGGCTACCTTCTCAGTGTGTCCTTGAAAGGTCTTTATTCTGCATGTACACATGTCTGTGACCAAATCTCCTCTTCTTAAAAGAATACCAATCATATTGGATTAGGGCCCACTCTAAAGAGCTTCTTTTAACTTAACTCTTCAAAGACTGATATGGTTTGGTTATGTGACATCACCCAAATATCATGTTGAATTGTAATTCCCAGTGTTGGAGGTGGGACCTGGTGGGAGGTGATTGGATCACAGGGGTGGTTTCCAATGGTTTAGCACCATCCCCCTAGTGCTATCTTGTGATAGAATTCTCATGAGCTATGTTGTTTGAAAGTGCATGGCGCCTCTCCACTTCTCTCTCTCTCTCTTTTCTTTCTCCTGCTCTGCCATGGGTGGATGTGCCTGCTTTCCCTTCACCTAAGGCCTCCCTAGTCATGCTTTCTGTGCAGCCTGCTGAACTGTGAGTCAATTAAATCTCTTTGCTCCATAAGTTACCCAGTCTCAGGTAGTTCTTTGTAGTGGTGTGACGACAGACTAATACAAAGAGCTGATCTCCAAATACCATTATATTCTGAGGTACTAGAGGTTAGGGCTTCAACATATGAATTTTGGGAGGACACAAGTCAGCCCATGATGAGATCTAATTGTTTATTTGACAAGCACCTGCTGAGCACTTGCCATGAGCTAGGCAGTTAGCCTAGCTGGTCAGGGCACAGTCAAAACCATATTGATTATGTTAATGAGCCACTTTGCATAACCCTCCCCAAGGACAGATAAGAGAGTGTATCCGAAGTGGGGTAATCATTCCATCATTCTTGCTGAAGCAGCCTCAAGTCATTGTGGTAGTTGCACCAGAAGATTATCTTCAGGAATAAGGAAGACATGCTCCAGGTGGGAGGCTGCTGTTAGACACAGCGGGCTAACCCAGGACTATGGGGTCCAGAGATGATGGCTTTCTCTTTGAGCCACTGTAGGGGGGCACACTCCACTGGTGTTGGACCCAGAATAGACTTGGGGAATATGGGTTTATAGGTTTTAAAGTGAAGGGGCCATATTAATATTTTGAAGATGCTAAGTGATGGCATGAGTCAGTGCTTAGAATGACTCAGCCATGGCCATATGACTAGCAAGCAGCTGTTGACCAAGCTATATGGGATAGTGAATGGGGGCAGGGGTGTGAATGTCTGATAGTTGAGGGTAAAAGACAGGACAACCTAGATATTCAGTGGTGGATGAAAGGAATACCCAAACTCCACAGATGCCCAGACACACATCAAAACAACATGAGACGCAGTCATGGGCTTTATTTTAATATACCTTGAACTTTTCATATTTATTATGTGATCTTATCCTCCCAAGAAACTTGTTGAGTAGGTAGGGCAGGTATTATTAATCCCATAAGTTAAATGAGGCAATAAGGCCCAAGTCAGTCAAATGAGTGGCTAAGACTACACACTACATTAAATAAAAAGCTGTTTCCTGACTCCCATTCCTGAGTTCATTCACCTTTCAGCGCTGAGACTGGTTGTGGGATTTGTCAGCAGTGATAAAAGGAGCTCATGCAGTCATTTTAGTCCTTCCACTCGTGGAAGCCACAGAGTGCCTTATAGGCTTTGTGAGAGAAGATATTTTGGCTGGGTCTGAGCGCTGCCCAGCTGCTTGTCATATGTCAAGAGTCATGATGCAGATGATGCAGGGGTGAACCAAAGGTACCCCTTGTCCCTGAATATGCTGAGTGGTCATTAACTAGAATGGTCTTCAAAGGGAAAGTTATGCTTGGGTCATAGCAAGGCAGAAAGAAGCCTTCTTCCCTCTTTCCCTCCCTCCCTCCCTCCCTCTCTTGTCTAGAACTTAAAGACAATGTCAAGCAGCCTACTCTCCATTCTACTCTCCCCTGGGCCACCCTCTTGGTCTTCCTTGGGTCCTAGACTCAAAGTCCCCCCTAAGCAAAAGATGCACTGGCATTTCCAATCTAACTCCAAAGGCCTGAGGCTGCTTCCTCTGGGAAGCCCTTATTAAACCCCCAGACCTGAGGCAGATGTCTATATCCCTTCTGCTCCATAAACCCTAGCACTGTCATAGCACCAGAAGCTTTGATTGGCAATTGCCCATTGGCCTTTCTGGATACCCTATGAGACTGTGCTTCTCATAGGCAGAGGCTAGTCCTTCTGGACCACAAATTTACTCCCAGGGTGACTACAGTAATCCAGGATACTCCCTTGAAAGAATGGAAAGAAGAAACAAAAGAGTGAGGTTTTAAAAGATTTTTACTCCTGCCTCTCCCAAATTCCACTCCAGCTGCAGGTTGTCAGAAGAAAGGAGTAAGGGAGTGCTGATCATTCTTTGCTGAAGCTGGTCTATGATGGCTCCATTATGGCTACAATTCCCAAGAAACTTGGACAGAAAGGGTGGGTAGAGAAAGGCAAACTAGGGCCACCACAAAGATCACTTTCTTGGAAGGAAATGTGGGTGGAAACCAGAGTGATGCTTTCTCTGACCTTGGAGGATACGTGAGGAAATGGAATTCCAGTAGAACTGTGGAAACAGCTATTGATCATGACGGAGGCTAAAAGGGTTGGGTCATGTCTGCCATGGCTCATCTTGGCAGTTGCACTCAGATGTGACCTGCGCTATTCAGAATTTGAGTTTGGACTTTGAGCCATTATAAAAAGACTGGATGAACCAAATATAAACATGCAGAATGCAAATTCCAAGAAACTTTAAAAAAGTGATGATCTTTATTAAAAGCCCAAGACAAATAGTATTTAAAGAGGATGCTGATATACATGGGACTGCTGTCACTTTCTCACTCTAAAATAGAGCCTGTTCCAGCCCATCTCACACATGACTATTTCATAGAACAAGCCGTAAAATATGACTGTAAAGCACTTTGCACACATAAAATGCTACATGGCAAATCCTGACTACTACTTCCCATCATTTAATGTCTGAATATAAATGTCTACCATTTATAATAATTTTATGTGACTTGATGGCTGCCAGCTTTTACCAAACATGGAAGTAGAAACTGGGCTGCATGTGGAAGCCACAGAGTGCCTTATAGGTAAAACTGCCTTGCTGTAATAAATTTTTTGAGTCCTTCATATTTAAAAAAACTGTTTGCCTTTCTGGAAGATTCTGAAGATAGATAAAATGTTTTACTTGCCATTTTCCCCCCAGACCCTATCACAGGATAGGTAATCATTGTAATATGTTCATTGAATGAATTAATGATTGTATGAATTAATGATTCAAGATAAACTAAGGCTGTAAGTTTTTAGGTAGAATGGAAACCATCAGACACTGTCCCTAACCTGGACACATTGCTTTATGACGAAAGTAAGATCATTGGCATTGTTGAGGAACTAGTCCAAGTTATTTCCATGTCATGCATTTCTTCAGAGGTGAGGACTGTCAGGTTTAAATCTTTTCCCCTCCTGCACTATAAAAACTGTTTTTATTGTGCATTCATGATTCAGTTAGCTATTTTCTTGGAAAATGTTAGCACTATTTCATTGTCCTGACTAGGATCCTCTTCGCTTTGCCCCTCCTCTCCCCAAAACAAAACAAACAAAAACACTGCAGTTCATACTCTGGACATCATCAAATCCCTCATCTCTAAAGAGTAAGGGATGGTCCAAATGCCTCGTTAATACTCCATGTTTTTATGAGGACACCTCAGTCTAGTGCCTGCTAATGGAATAGATTCATTTTAAGAAGAAAACGGGTTGGAGAAGGAGCTGCTGGGCAGCTTCAGCCATTTACTACTGTACTTGACAATACAATTCACCTTATGGTCCTTCCTGAATCACAGCCTCCAATATGCTGTGTACCCTTGACAGCTGGGGCACCATTTGCTAAGCTGAGGCAAGATACACATTTTGCAACCACTCTATCTCACCCACTCAAGAAACCATTCACCTTCTGGCTGACCTAGCAACCAAATCATAAGCTCAACAGAGAAACTGGAGGTGGTGTGGAAGCTTAGAGGGGGAAAGAACAAGATTGCTTTATGTAGGGTTATTGTCCAGATTTATTTATGGCCCCTAAGTTAGACCCCCACCACATGCTATTTCCTAAAAAAGAGAGGGCTGCTACTTAGCAGTAGGATGATTTTTAAAAAAAAAGTCTTGACATGATTACATATTCCCCAAATTCAACTTGTAACTGTTTAACAAAACCAGAAGACTGTTCCACAATGGCTGTATGGTCATTGACTACAGTGGCCTGGGGCGTGGGGCAGTACGTGGACACACCACACTGTCCTACTGAGATTACACTCAGGAGCTAGGCATTGCTCTTCATTTGAGTATAAAATAAAGAAGACAAGACTGACATTGTGAAATATTAATATGGAGTTCCAGCCAACAGGTTCATAAAAATTAAGTACTCCTTTTGCCTCCTCTGCAGGGTTTCTCTTTTTGGAATCGAACCAGCTCTTCTTGTCATTATCCGATCGATAGGGCCAATGGCAATCCTAGGCACTTGAAAATGACGTTCATGTGCTCTCCAGCAGCTGCCATCCACCTCTCCCTTTCCCTTAATTTCTGCTGACATACATGTTTGCTCCCACAAAAGGCTTAGATTTGTAGGACAAGAGCTTTGGGATTGTGTCCATTTGGCCTAACTTTGGGGCTGTGGTGACATTTTAATGAGATTTGGCCATTGTGAATCTTACATTGATAGGACTAAAGCAAAACATGATTCACCGAACATTGACTGGCTCCGTCTGTGCTGGGAAATGCAGGTACAGAGTGGAGCGTTAAAGACTGCAGCTCTCCGATGTGTGTATATTGGAAAACAGTGTGCAGAAAAGAATAGTTATAATAGTAAGCTATACCAGTAAGTAGACAAGAAAGGAGGATGTTGATGGAGGAAGGAGGTACATGAAGGAGATACTAGGTTTCCCCTCTTTATCACTTCTCTCCTTCTCCATGCAGAGCAAGAGGCATCCTGTGGCTTGGCTCCTTAGATGTACTTCTGTATGCTCCCCTACACTGCAGAGACATCCAAATGCCTTCAGCTGATTAAAGTCAATTGGTAAGTTTGAGGCCAGGTGTGGTGGCTCATGCCTCTAATCCCAGCATTTTGGGAGGCAGAGGCCTGAGGATCACTTGAGGCCAGGAGTTTGAGACCAGCTTGGGTGACATAGTGAAACCCCATCTCTGCGAAAAATAAACAAACTAGCTTGGCATGGTGGTGTGTGCCTGTGATCCCAGCTACTTGGGAGGTTGAAATGGGATGATCGCTTGAGCCCAGGAGGTTGAGGCTGCAGTGTGCCATGATCATATTGCTGCACTCCGTCCTGGGTGTCAGAGTGAGACCTCATCTCTTAAAAAAAAAAATTAAAAATTTAGAGAAACAGGTAAGTTTGGGGTGTCAGGTTGTTAGCACCTCACATGGTCCCATAATTGACAAAGATGACTTGTGAGCTGCAGAGTCCAGCATGAGGCCCTTCTTGTGAAACTTGGTCAGCCACAGGCTCTCCCAGTAGGATGTGCTAAAGCCCCTCTCCACCCTGTCCCTGCCCTCCCAGACAATGAGAGCACTGCTGGGCCATATGCAAGAAGCCCAGAGTGGTAAGATCTGACATCATGTGCTGCCCTGGGCACCAAGTGGGGGCCCTGGTGGTGTGCCCATCAGATCGGAGTCTTTCTTCAGCCTGTTTGATTGGGTTTCTCCTCCAATTCCAACTTTACACTCTATTCATTTCTCCAGTGAGCTTGAAGGTCTGTTTTGCACCCTGGGCAATTAGATAGAGACTGACAACCAGCCTGGCCCCGCCCTGCCTGCCCTGTCCTTCTGGGGGAACACACCCTGAGACGACCGAGACTCAGGGTGTTTATCTCCACTTTGATGCTATTTCTACTTCGTCCTGCGCCTCTAATGACCAAAAAGGTCAAGTAGACAGAGTCATACCTGATCCAACCTCACGAGAAAAAGACTTAATTCTGCTTCAAATGTCTTGAGAACACGTGTCAACTATTTGAGATCCTTAGAAGACAATCTAAATGCAGTATGGAATATATCATGGTGATCAAGTTAATCTTCCTAATTTCTTTTCTCCATATGTCAGCAGTTAATAACAGGATTACAAGTAAGGAAGACACTTGAAGGTTTTTAAGAGGACAATGTGTGTTCAGACATGGCCTCTCAGCTGTGGCAGGGGAGAAGTGTTAGGTGGAGGATGAAGGACAAGGCTTGGGAAGGTACAGATGGAGACAGAGGGTCCTGAAACACACAACATGAAGGCAGGCTGTTCCACTCCCTTTCACCCCTTCCCTGCTGGGGCACAGCTTCACAGGGCAGGGCCTTCTATTGCTTGCTACACTGCAATTCTGATGCCAACCACCAGGGTTGGTACAAACTTTCCTGCATGAGAGCCCAGTCACCCAAAAAACTCCCAACCCTTCAGACCCCAGCCACAAGCCCTGGGGTTTCCAGGTCACCCACAGATAACTGAAATACAGGCCACATGATTGATCTCATCTGCAGCCTTCCCCACTCCCCGAACCCTCTAAACATATGGTTGGTGTTTCTGGCCTGGATAGCCCCCATCCTGAAACTGTCAAGAGCATAGTCACCTCACCTCATCAGCATGAACTTGGGCATGGTCTCAGGGGTTCACCATGAGTATCAGAGACCCTCCTATCACTCAGAACATTCCAAGGGTTTAGAAGTTCCCACCCAGGAACCTAGGCAAAGACCAGCCACATTCTTCATTGCAGAACATCTGCCTTTCTGCTCTCTGCAAAGCCAGATGGGCTGCGAAGCAATCAGCCTCAACCAGCTTACAAATGGGCTTCCTTTCACAAAACTGGAATTAAGACTTAAAAACAGAGGCCAAGTCACATTTTGTATTACAAACTTGCTTTACTATGGGACTTCTTTTAGCTCAAACTCCCCAAGGCATTTAAAATCTAGTAATAACTGCACTGCATTCGCGTGCTTGCCGGGAGACCGTTCTGCCCATGGAGAGCACAGTTCCAGTCCCAGACTGCGGTTTCTTGGCAGGGGGACCTCGGGGGGTGCCCTAGGGTATGTGGACCTGGGAAAGTATTTTTACAGGGCCACATGTCTATACAGAAATTTGAGCTATCTTAAAATCATGGTGTCAGCACCATTCCAGTGCCTCACACAATCCCATGAAAGGATATTCTGTCGTCCACCAGGCATGACCTACTTGGTGGGACACCCTCTTGGATCTAGGCCCAACTCAGGACTCTGGTATAACCCCTTAGGTGTGGGTCTTTAAGCTCCTTGGGTAGCTGGTCACACTGGTGAAATGGGGTAAATAGACCCCCAAGGGTCCCATTGCCCCTCAGGGATGAGAGGGCCTTAAGTCCCTCGAGTTTGCCAGGGTCTCAGGATGTTGCTGGACATTGGACCAATTCCTTAATCTCTGTGTGTCTGCTTCCTCATCTGTGGAATGGAGGTTACAATAGCACTGACTCCTTAGGGTTAACGGAAGGACAGAACCAAAGTACAGCCTGGCGTGTAATAAGTGCTTTTTAGGTATTAATTCTGTTTGTGTGTGTGTTTTTAATTAAATGTTAATCTTTAATCCACCCAACTCTTTAAATATCTTCCTATTTGAATTCACATTTCATTGATGAGGAAATTGGGATTTTTAGAAAATTAATTTGTCCAAGGTCACACATATTTGCTAAGTGTCTGAGTCAGAGTTTGAGCCCCGTTGAGCCTGACTCTAACACCTGATTATTTTGCTATATGCCCCACTATCTTCCAGTCACTCAAAAGTCAGATTTATGTTATCTTTAAAAAATCATGGATAAGGCATGCAAAGGTACATTTGTGTGGCCTGAGATCAGAGTGGGGGCATTCTTTCTGGAGTGCAAGCTGCAGGTAACTGTGGCTGCTGGAGGACCTTCTAGAAGCAGGAGCTGCATGGAGAGTGGAGCCTGTAATGCAAGCTTATTAGCAAGCATGTAAACACCAAGAGAGTGACCCTACAATTATTTCTCAACCTAGCACCCAGTGCTATGACTTGCCTTCCTTTAGGGACTAACAGAACTTCATCCAACCTTCCCTGTAGGCTCTGCCAAACACTGGAGGTTCCTCTGTTCCTGCAATCCCCTGGGGGATGTTTGAACATCGTGTTCTTGAGCCTGGGCTTTGGGAGGGTGGCATTTACAAAGGATCTCCCAGTCAAGCCTCGGTATGGGGAGGAATCACTTAGCAGCCTGCCTATGAACAGAATTGAAAAAGGAATAAACAGATAATTCCAGGAGCAGCCTGAAGGCAGTTTCAGCAGGAGAAGGGCACATTAAGATATAGCAGAGAACAACAGTTAGACGAATCCACAAAAGTGAAAGAAGTCAATGAAGGTGGGAAGAACCCATCAGGCTTGGGCCCTTGGGCAAAGCTAAGAATATCTGTGCCAGGTACAAATTCCAAGACTTATACTTAGAGATTTGGAGCTGAAAGGCTAAGGAGAAAGGCAGGGTAAAGAAGTCACTCCTACAGCAACCAGGAGCAAGTTATCCAACAGGGATCCTCCCCGTTAGAACTATTCCAGTTATACTAATGTCTAGGACATTGCCAGTGAGTTCAGAAATTTAGCAGCCAAGGAAATATGGCTCTAGAAAACTGATGTTCTAGATCATTGAAGCACCTCAGTTGTGATTCTGACATAGGTAGGAAGGGATGAGAACGACATATTTTTGTGACTTTGTGGATCCGTGCAGAGGAAAACAGTTTCAAATGATTCCACAAAGCAAAATGATTCCTCTGCTGAAAACCGAATGTGAGAATAACAATTAAAATCCACCTATTCACACCTTCAGGCGATTGAGCTCAGATTCATTGAGAGTTCCTCCATGTCAGGATAAGTATAATTTGGCATTTTTATCTTTGATTCGGAGGTGGTCATAAAGACCTTTTCGAAGTGGTAGGAAATGAGGCCGATGAGAGCAACTGTGAATGGGAAATGTCAGGACACTGGAGGCAGTGCAAATGAAACAGAATTGAGCCAAGAGCTGCAGCAGGTAATTTCAAAAGGCTGAGGTCATCCAGTCTCCCTCCATGGGGGTGTGAGTGTTTCAGCAACCAGAGACTTTGCAGCTCACAATTCTGGGGAACTAGTCAAGGTCATGTGGGCTGACTGGAGGTGAAGGAGACTGATCACTAAATCTCCTTGCTGATGAGTAGCTGGATCTGAGAATGCAATCCAGCCGTGGATTCTGGAAGGTTTCCATGACTCTCTTCACTCAAAATTGGGTGCCAGCTATGTCATTGAGATTTGTCTTCATGGTTCTTTGCCCTTTCTCTTTCAACTCCGAATGGGACCTGCTTCTACCCCCAAACACTGGGCTTTCTCACCATGCAAGGCCTCCATTCATGGAGTTGACAGAGAAGGCAAATAATTTATGCTCAAGGTTTGGTGGTTTTAAAGCATTGCTTTCCTATCCCCAGAAATATCTTTGTTGCTGCTGTTTTTTTTTGTTAGTAATAATAATTAGGTACAAAAGACAATGAATGTATCAGGAGGTGATGTGAGGGAGCCTTCCCTCTTTCTGTAACCTCCACTGAGTTCTGGGGCTAATCACTCTGGGTTGGAAAGCAGGAAGCTCAGCTTTAGCCTCTGCCATTTAGGACGTCGCGTGGTCTTTAATAAGTCATGTCACCTCTCTAGGGACTCATTTTCTCATCTTAAATGAGGAGGAAAGGATGATTTCTAGAAATCTGCTTCAAAAATCTTCTAAATTCTGTGAGCTCCCTGTGAGTGAAAGCCAGGCCTATTAGCATGTCTTGGGTCTAACTCCACAGAACAGTCCAGGGGGTGTGCAGAGTCTTTGTCAATGTCCATTATGTCTGCAACCCCTTCTCCCTGAGAATGAGACAGGAAAGCCAATGGGAAACATTACAAGCCCACCACACTGGCCTGGATTGCATGAGACTGTGGCAAGAAGTGAGGGGAAGAGGGTGTAGACTTCTAAGTCCAAAGAGAAACTCCTCTAATCCCTGGTTTGCTCTGGAATGCCAGCTGTGGAGAAACAGCCACAGACATCATGGTCATTGATGTGAGCAAACTTTTGCCTTCTCTACTTATTGAGATGAAGGCAACAGGAAAGGAATGGCCACGCACCCTGGGACATAGCCCAGCTCCACATGGGCCCAGTGGAATATTTGCTGGCCTTTTTGGAAGTTAAAGAGAAAAGATTATGAAAGTAAATACTGTTTTAAAATTTTTCTTTGAAACAAAGCCCACTCCTCTCCCCAACACTTGTTTTTTTTTTAACAGCTCTGGTGACCACAGATTCCATACCAGGAGTCACTCTGCTCAAGAAGTCCTTTTCCTGATCCGTTTAGCCTTTTCATAACAGTCTACGGTGAAAAGTCTTGTCAGCTGCTGTTTGCATTGTAGGTGGGGACAGGTGAGTTGACATGGAATTGTTTGTGCTTCTTTTGTGCAAACGATGAATAACAGTTGCCTTCAGATGAACTTAACAGGTCAAGTAATTCTACTTTAACAAAATGTAAGGCTTCCTTATTGAAACAGAGGTGAAGACCCAGGGTCACCTTGAGCTAAGGAGGAGAGAGGCCTAAGTTGGTTTTACTGGCAACCAAGAAACCATCTTTCTTCCTTCACTGAGCTCAAAGCACTTGTTTTTGCCTACTAATTAATTTCTAGGAAGTGATGTGAACCTGTGGTCCTGCCTTCTACATATAAGGCTTCTGATACAAGGCAGCTTCAGTAATCACTGCCTGGCTTTTCCAGTTGAAAAAGGCCCATCTCAAAATTAGTTATGGGGTGCCCCTCGAGGCATCCATGAGAGATCCAGGCAGAGTCTCCGAGGAGAGTGTTTGATCTAATCTCAGGACAGGGGAATGGCCTTATTTTGTGATATTGTGCGTTGTTCCCGTGATGGGTCATCTCTTCTTCTCTGCTGATTTATTTCTGCTCTTGGTGAAGTCCTCCAGTATGTGGCCCTTCCGGGAGGACCTTCCTGTTTGGCACACACAACCAGTGAGCTGTGAAGCACTTGCAGAGCTCAAAATAGAAAGTCTGCAAGCACGCTGCTCCCCAGGGCCTAGTCTGTGCCGGCTTGTTCAGATGACAGGGGAGTGGGGCTAGGAGGGCCAGCTCCTCCGAGAAGGCCAGGTGCCTCTCCGGGGTGGGCCTCAGCACAGAGGGAATATGACTGCAAAGTCACTACCCTCAGGGTTCTAGAAATCATTTCAGATTTCTGCCAATTGCAACATTGTCACTAAGCCCTGGATTCCCACCCCAACCTAATATGAAGAAAAAGCTGATTGCTTTCTAAGATTAAACGATCTAAACACACAAGTTTTAGGATTTCTGAGGGCATGAAAGGTACTTGGCTATTCTCAACATCAGACAGAGCTATTAAGAAGAAAGAAGGGGAAGAGCTCTGAACAAACAAAAGCCTTTTCCTGCTCTGCTAATCCACCTTGAGATATGATGACTCATGTTGGGTTGCCTTGGTAACCATGACATCAGGAGAGGGAGAGTGTGTGTGTGTGTGTGTGGGCGGGGGGGGGGGAATCCTTCACACCTCCATCCTGTGCCTCACCCTGTGAGTGCTGTGAGCTGACCCTGCATGCATAGACATCACTCTTTTGCACCTGGAATCATTTTGCTGTTGCAGGGCCTGACCACCAGCGGCTTGTCATTGATCATTTTCTTGGGGTGAGCAGGTTTGATGGACAGGGTGTGTGTAAGTGGCCCAAGGCACCCAGAGTATGATCAGAGGCTCTGCTAGCCTCCTTCGCCATCCCCTCCCCAGCTTTCCTGATGGGGTCTGTGGTTTGTCCTCATCAAATGAAGATGGCAGCAGCTCCAGGGTGGTTTTAGTTTTGGGGAAGTCTGGTCTGTCCTCTCAGGCTGTGAGTCTGGCCCTGTGTAATGACAACCAGGTGGGCACATTGAATCAGAATTAGGAGAGGCATCACCAGCTGGGGAAGGGAGTGTAGACTGTGTGGGTCCCTGGCCTGCCTTTTTTTTTTATCTCTGAGTCCACAGAGAAACTCCTCTAATCCCTGGTTTGCTCTGGAATGCCAGCTGCAGAGAAACAGCCACAACAGTCACTTGTTAAGAGAGGCCCTTTCTTTGAAGCGGAATTTGCAGCCATGGCTAAGCATTCAGGTGAAATCACATTACAGCAAATCCTTTCAGGCCAAAGTGCCTCTACAGAGTTTTTTATAGCCTGGGAAGACTTTGGGATTCAGCGAATCCTGTGATGAATGATCCTGTGCAGTGACCATTTTATGTGGTTCTAGTCCAGTAACTGTTACCATACTGTGAAAAGCTCTGTAAAATGAGATCTGTCTGAGGATAACTTGTATCCAAGAAGAAGTGGTGGTGTTAAGAGGCACCATGGAGCAGTTAAAAAATTGACCAGTTACAAGTGATGTGACCTTAGGCAAGTCTCTGTAACTTTATGACCTCAGTTTATTTATTTTTAATAAGTTTATTTATTTTTAATGATGAGGCTAGTAGCACCATTCAGGGTCTTGGTGAGAATTCAGGGAGACAGTGTGGGAAAGTGCTTCACGATCTGGGATGGGACATTCCAAGAGAGGCAATTACCGTGACTTCAGATGAGATTTGAATCCCAGCCAATATAAATACATCAAAACGCTGGACACTGACATTGTCTTGTCATGAGAATTGTAATGTCTTCCATTATTCCATTAATACTATCAAAAGAAAATTTGGAATTTTTTCTAGCTTTATTGAGGTATGATTGACAAATAAAAATGGTATGTATCTAATGTACAGAGTAGTGATTTGAGATATATATGTATAGTGGAATTATCACTATAATCAAGTTAATTAACATTAATCTCAGTTACTCTTTAAAATTTTTTTGCAGTGAGAATACTTAAGATCTACTCTCTTAGCAAATTTCAAGCATACAATGCATTATTATTAACTGTAGTCACTATGCTGTACCTTAGTTCTCCAGAATGTATTCATCTTATAACTGAAAGTTTGTATCTGTTGATCAGTATCTCATTTCCCCCACTTAAAATTTGGAATTTTATTTATTTATTTATTTTTGAGATGGAGTTTCACTCTGTTGCTCAGGTTGGAGTGCAGTGGCGCAATCTCAGCTCACTGCAACCTCTGCCTCTAGGGTTCAAGCAGTTCTCCTGCCTCAGCCTCCCAAGCAGCTGGGATTACAGGCATGTGCCATCATGCCCGGCTGATTTTTGTATTTTTTGGTAGAGATGGGGTTTCATCATATTGGTCGGGCTGGCCTTGAACTCCTGAACTCAGGTGATCCACCCACCTTGGCCTCCCAAAGTGCTAGGATTACAGGTGTGAGCCACCATGCCCAGCCCCAAATGTGGAATTTTAAATAAGAATCTCTCACATTATACTTAAGGTATGTGCTTTCTAGATCCCATGCTGTTGTCTAACCAGGAGCATGAAGTCATAAGCTGGGCGGGGTTGGGGAGGGAGAGGTAGGGATGCACTTCCTGACACCTCCTGCAAGCTGTTGTTACGAAGGCAGCAGAGTAGAAAGGTGAAATGCAAGGACCTGAAAATCAGACACACCTGGGTTCCTGGTGAGCTTTGCTACTTCCTGGTCTCTGATAGCAGGCATGTCACTTAACCTGGTCAATCTTCAGTTTCATCTTTTGTAAATGAGCCATAATAATGACTCAGAGTTTCTTGTGACATTTAAATAAGCCAATGCATGTAAATGCTTAATCCACCGACTGGTACACTGTAAGTGCTCAAAAATGTTGGTTATTAATAATTTCTCTAATAAGTTGATGTTTCCTCATCACTGAATGTTTCTTTTAAACACAGAACTTTAAAAAAAATCACATCCCTGAGTTCATTTTGCTGAAGGTTGAAAATATTAGAGCACACCCATATCTGTCACCATTTCCACTGATGACTTCAAAGGTGCAGTGCTTAGCACACATGCCATAATGCAAAAGCGCCTGGCACAGTGCCCAGTATGGCACATGGGGAGTGTTCTGGAAACTTACAAGAATAGGTTGAGGACATGTAAGAATCTGCAATGCCAGGCTCAGGAATTTGGAATGACTTTGATAACTAACATGGCGCCATCGATGGTTACTGAGCCATAGAATGCAAGATCATATCCAGGCTTTAGGAAGACAACTCGGACAGTAGGATGCAGAATGAGTTAAGGGGGAAGATATCTGAATGGTGGGAGATTATGGCTGTGCTGCCAGAGATAAGATTGTGGCAGCATAAGAATAGAGACAATGTGATGCGCTGAGAAGCATGGCAAGTTTAGGACCTACAGGAAGAACTTAGTGCTGGGGGTTAGGGTAGAGGAACGAGTGATGGTGAGTGGAAGGTTTCTAGGTCAGGCAGGGTTGAGATGCACAGGCGAGGAAGGACTGTCAGGGTCGGGAGGCCCCCACTCATCTGCACTGTTGGGTTTGAGGAAGGGCTGGTGAAGGGGTATGAATGTAGAAATATAGCTTAGAGCAAAGAAGAGAGAGCAGGGCTTGAGCTAAACTAAAAGGGTCTTCTGCCTAAGGATTACTGCTGAGGTCATGGGATTCTCTGCCCATATCCAGGCTGGCAGGGAGGAGCAACCCCAGGGGAAGAATGGTCAGAGAGGCCACTGTCTGTGAAAAGGGGAGACGGACTTCAAAAAGAGCATTTAGACTTGTCCAACCAGACTTGTCACAAGAGTCAAGGGAGGCTTCAGAGTCAAGGAGGCTGGATTTGTAAGGAGGATGAGCCTCAGAACCCTAGGCCATCACCTTTAAAGAAATGCAAGGAATGAAATCATGTCCTTTGCAGCAACATGGATGCAGCTGGTGGCCGTCATCCTAAGCAAATTAATGCAGGAACAGAAAATGGAATACCACATGTTCTCACTTAAGGTAAGAGCTAAGCACTGAGCATACATGGACATAACTATCGGAACAATAGACGAGACTACCAGAGGGTGTAGGGAGCAGGGAGTGGGTTACGAGACTACCTCACGGGTACTGTGCTCACTACCAGGGTGACAGGGTCCATACTCCAACCTGCAGCCCCACCTGATTCTCCGAGGCAACACATCTGCACATGTACCCACTGAATCTAAAATAAAAGTTGAAACATAAAAACAAAGCAAGACAAACAACAGCAATTAATGGGATTGCAAAAATATAAGAAAAAATGAATTAGAGGGGGAAGCGAATACAGTAGCAGTTTTACATGTGTGAAATGCTTAGGCTGTGGACAAATATAATAAATATGGAACTTTTTTTTCTTATAAAAAATGCAAGGATATGCAATTGATTGGTGGGGAGGGGGGAGCTGAGTCCAGAAGTGAGTTAGCTGCCCAGATATGACCAAGCATACCTTGGCTATGGATAACAACTGCTTTAGAGAAGGTTTGAGTCTTGCCAAGAATGATACCCTCCCTTGTGGAAGCTTCGTGAGAAGGCAAATGTTTCAGGAGAGGAGCGGGAGTCAGGAGACTTGGTGGGAACCAGTTGTGCGATCTGGGGCAGGTTTCCTTTTCCTTCCAGGTCCTCATCTCTAAAATGAAGTGACTGACCCAGGTATACTCCAGGATGTCTCAATACACTCGCTTTTTCTCCTTATGGTAGAAACAAAATTTAGTTAATTTTGATTAAAAGACACCAAAGGCAAAACCCCTTCAAGTCTTGCAATTGTTTCCTCTCTGGTTTCCCACCCAAGTCCAAGTCAGTGTCCTCTCCTCTTTCAGTGTCTGGTCTTGGCTAACACATCACAATGCTTTGCTTCAAAATTTAGAAGACAGAGGAGAGGGGAAAAGAGAAACGACAATGCGTTGCTTTTCCTGCCTGCCAGTGATTATATTTGGAGGGAAGGAGAGGGAAAGAGAATAAATCTTACTGGATCCTCATCTCACAGTAATTCTGTGGAACATATAGAGCAAGGATTATTTGCCATATTTTGTGGTCAATAGAACTGAAACCAGAGAGGTCCAGTAGCCTCCTGAAACTCATGCAGATAACTAATTAAACATTTACTGGATACCCCCTATGCTTGACTTCAGGGAAACAAAGAAGAATAAGGCACTAGCTGTGTGATCTGAAGCAAATGACTTAACTTCTCTGGCTTGACGCCATTCTGTGATTTGCTAGGTCCTTACATTTCACACGTTAGTGTTTGGTCTCTGCATCCTCCTGTTCTATCACAGGAAAAGGCTGAAGCTTTTGCCTGGACTCTAACTGGGTTTAGGTTGTGTGAACCTCTAGATGCAGTTATCTGGGGCAAGAGGTGAGGTGCTGGTTTCCTTCCAGGCAGATGTAGTTAGAGAGTTGGCTGCAGAAAATGATTTTGCTCTGTGTCTCTAAGATCGTGGGCAGGTGGGAGCCCAAAGAGAGGCTTTCTGGATTCACTTCACATCAGATTGTTAGTTGGGGGGAGTTATTATTTTTAAGCCAGCACCACCCTAAGCACTGCCTTGCTTGCTTGCTGTCTGGGACATTCTTTAGCTTCTATTCATTCTGCAGCTCCCATGGGCAATACAAGTCCCTCTTCAGTCAGTTTCCCTGATCTGTCCTTGCAATTTCAGTCCCTATACTTGTAGAGGATCAGTAGCAGAGGAGAAACCAGACTAAAAAAAGATAAAATGATCAATGTTAATATGAACATACCTAATCGTATGCAAGTTCATGAACATGTTTTGCTGTGACCCTGTGAGAATGTTCCACATAACCACCTGCCAGTGTTGTAGGGGAGTGAGGAGCAGGGCTGACTGTCTGAATCTCAGTTTCTTTTCTTTTTGATATGGTTTGAATCTGTGTCCCCACCAAATCTCATATTGAACTGTAATCGCCAGTGTTGTGGGTGGCACCTGCTGAGAGGTGACTGGATCATGGGGGTGGAGTTCTCACGAATGGGTTAGCACCATCCCATTGTTCTTGTGACATGAGTGACTGAGTTATTGTGAGAGCTGGTCATTTGAAGTGTGTGGCACCTCCCCATGCGCTCTCTTCCTCCTGCTCTGGCCATGTGAAGTGCCAGCTCCCTCTTGGCCTTCCTCCATGACTGTAAGTTTCCGAGGCCTCCTCAGAAACAGATGCTGCCATGCATCTTGTACAGCCTGCAGAATCATGAGCCAATTAAACTTCCTGTCCTTATAAATTACCCAGTCTCAGGTATTTCTTTATAGCAATGTGAAAATGGACTAATACACTTATTTTGTTTAATTTTATTTTATTTTGAGACAGGGTCTTGCTGTACCCAGACTGGAGTGCAGTGGTGTGATCATAGCTCAATGCTGGCCCTAAGGGATCCTCCTGCCTCAGCCTCTTGAGTAGCTGGGAATACAGGCTCGTGCCACCACACCCAAGTTTGTTTTATTTTTTTTGAGACAGGCTCTTTCTGTGTTGCCCCTGCTGGTCTTGAACTCCTTGCCTCAAGTGATCCTCCTGCCTCAGCCTCCCAAAACGTTGGGATTACAAGTGTGAGCCAACACCCCTGGCCAGGCTCTCACTTTCTAGGTGGCATCATGGGTGAAGTCTCTTTGGTTTCCTTACTGTAGAGTAGAGATAATAATAGTACCTACCTGAGAGGATTGTTTTGAGGACACAGTGTCCTAATGCATGTGAAGCACTTAGAGCAGTGCCTGACATACACTAAAAACTAGGTACTGCTCATCGGTTCTTATTATCTACAGGCAGTTAGTTCACAGGCTCACACACTGTCTCTTCACGGCTCTTTGAGGATCCATAATTCTAATCATAATTCATCATTTCTTCTTGGAGTAGCTTGAGAGCCTGACATTAATTTCCTCAGACATTTAAGGAACCACAAGGTAATGGGTTGTTATCTCACTTTTTTTTCAAAATGAAATCAAGTTTATTAAGAAAGAAAAGGAATAAAAGAATGGCTACTCCATAGACAGAGCAATCTATTATCTCATTTTATCAATGAAAAGATTTGAATAAAAAATTAAGTATCAGTTTGTGCCCAGTCTCCTTGGGTGTCCATAAAAAAGATGGTAGAAGAATCTAGAATCTTGCCTGGCCTAGCTCATCTTACTGTTGGCCCTGACAGCTATGAGGGTGCACAGTAAGTTTCTCATCATGCTCGAAGGATCCTGTCCTATCATTGGAAACATGGCTGGCCTTTTCAGCCAAAGGACCATCCCCAGAGACTCATTCCCAGAGACTCCAGTCCTGAAGTCCTCATGACACCCACGTCCTGAGGGACCCTTGCCCTCAATCCCCAAGTTGAAAGTTTGCTGGGTTACAGCTGACCCTCAGGAGGCCTAGAGCAAAGGAAGGGACAATGTCCTTCCTCTCTGTGGCCAGGGAGAGGACACATCCAACCAGCCAAAGTGCTGGTATCCTTGGAAGGCTGGGGTGGGAGTGGTAAGAGGGGTTTGTTAGGACCTGTATTATTTTTTCTTCAATCAAAATAAAGGTTTATTATAAGGAAATAAGTTTAGATTATTCAGGTAAACAAAAAGAAACCAAATATAACCTGTATGTCCTATAATATCAAGTGTTCACCTATAATTTTATTTGTTTCTCATAAATACCCAAAGGTGTAGAGTAACACCAATGGAAGTATGCTATACAAATCCATTTCAGCATTTGATAAGGTAGAAATTTTTAGTGGCATAAAATCTGGAAGAACAGATGGGGCACCTTTAGATGAAATAAGGTCTGAGTTTCTGTGGAGGCTTCGCAAGATGCAGGATAACCTTTTCTCATGGAGAGGGGTTCCATTTTAATGGCCATCCAAGAATTAAAATAAGAATTTTACAGTAATGAAATAGGCTTCTTCCAAAATAGTACCGATCACACTCTCTGCAGTGTGTTCAATCAAAATAGCTGTTATAGTATTTTTAAGTGTTGCAAACACCTGGTTCATGATGAAAATCCTTGGGAATCTTTAAAAGGAAGGAAAGGTCTGTGTTAGCTGGGAGTGAATCCTGTATGAGCAGATCACATCAAAAGGTCTTGCTCAAGTATGTTGTATGTTTCAAGTACAACATTGGATGTTCAGGGAAATAAAGTGTCATAAGACAGGGGTCCGCAACCCCTGGGCAACAGACCAACACCAGGCGGCACAGCAGGAGGTGAATGGCAGGCAAACCAGGAAAGCTTCATCTGTGTTTTCAGCTGCTCCCCATTACTGCCTGAGTTCCGCCTCCTGTCAGATCATCAGCAGCATTAGAGTCTCATAGGAGCTTGAACGCTATTGTGAACTGTGCATGTGAGGGATCCAGGTTGCGAGCTCCTTATGAGAATCTCATGCCTGATGATCCATCACTGTCTCCCATCACCCCCAGACAGAACCATCCAGTTGCAGGAAAACAAGCTCAGGGTTCTCTTTGATTCTACATTATGGCAAGTTGCATAATTATTTCATTATATATTACAATGTAATAATAGAAATAAAGTGCACAATAAATGTAATGGGCTTGAATCATCCCCCAAAACACCCCCCTGTCCACAAGTCCCTGGAAAAATTGTCTTCCCTGAAACTGGTCCCTGGTGCAAAAAAGGTGGGGGACCACTGGTATAAGACACAACCAGCACCGCAAAGGAGCTTATAGCTATTGGGATATGGGGAATTCAGAGGTCAAACCCATTCTTCTTGTTTCTAATATGGTAATACTGAAAAATTATTTGCCCAGAATCTAAAATTGGACATGAGGAGACAGGAAAGGGAGAATCCCAGGGAACACAGGGGGCACTGGGAGTGAGAGCTGAAACACTGGTGACTCTGGTTCATAGAAGAGATACCCTCTCAATCACTTGAGGTCAGGAGTTCAAGACCAGCCTGGCCAACATGGCAAAACCCCATCTCTACTAAAACTACAAAAACTAGCCTGGCGTGGTGGTGGGCACCTGCAGTCCTAGCTACTTGGGAGGCTGAGGCAGGAGAATCGCTTGAACCCAGGAGGCAGAGGTTGCAGTGAGCCAAGACTGTCACTGCACTCCCCTCCAGCCAGGGCAACAGAGCAAGACTGTCAAAAAAAAAAAAAAAAAAAAGATGTCTTCAGCACCCCCTACTACACCTGATTCTAGTTCTAACTTTGAGTTGAAAACATCTCATGTTCACTGTCTTTCCTGCTGGCATCAAGACCTTAGTTCTTTTGGGCAGTGGCAGACATGGGATTTCTATCACTCCTCCCACATTCCCACCCTCCCTTTCAGAAAGCTGAGGCTCCAAGGAGGGAGGACCTCTGCCTGCAGGCTGGCTGATACCTCAGTCGTTGCCTTTTCTGTGCTGGAGCTGTACAAGGCCATTTCGTGTCCCATTTAGCAAGTGTGGAGGGTTCTTTGATTTGGGAGAGGATAGCACAAGTCATCCTGCCTCCGATGGTGGGTGAAATACCATCTGATTCAGAGCTTCCTTCGTGACTTCCTCCAGAACCGACTGCCTCATTTGTGTCTCCAAAATTAAAAATAGCAAGGGTTAGATCCTATGCCTCTCCTATTCCCTGGGGATGCTGTGATCGAGTGATGACTTTATCAACAAACTATGAGGCTGTCGGTCTGTTCTCTTTTGATCAGAATCTAGGAAAAGGAGCAAGTAATGTTATTCTCTGAACTTTGCTGTAGTCCTCCCCAGGGCTTAAGGGCTCAGGACCCTGTTTGGCCCAGCATTTTCAGCTGGTTCATTTCATGTTGAGCTTTGCTTTGTACACATCAGTGTGTGAACAAGATCAATCTTTTAGCAAAGGAGTAGTTAAGGCAGTGCTACGGAGGAAAGCGTCAAGTGGGACTATAGTGCCTGGATTTCACCATCAAAGATCCCTTCCATGGGCTACTTCTCACTGAGATCCTTTTAACAGCTTCTTTAAAACGAATACAAAGCTTTGGAAAGAGCCACACAAATTTAAACTAAGGTGTGGCAAGGTTATGTTACTCTAGGTCAGAGGTATGGGTGTCAGAAGGCTCAGGGAGCCATTAGGTCCTAGAGACATTAGGTTTGAGACAAGAAGTTTTCAGTCTAGGAACAGTGGATAACAGCAAAGATACCAGCCCCAGGACAAGGCAGTGCCTGTAACCCTGTTGTTATTGCCCATTTTCTCCAGGACACCATCCTCCCTCACAGAGGCGTAGTTATTGGGGTTGGAATGGGTGCTTGTGTTAGAGTATGTATTAAAAGTCAGTTCCCGTTTGGGCGCAGTGGCTCACGCCTATAATCCTAGCACTGCAGGAGGCTGAGGCAGGTGGGTCATTTGAGGTCGGGAATTTGAGACCAGCCTGGCCAACATGGTGAAACCCTGTCTCCACTAAAAATACAAAAAAATTAGCTGGGTGTGGTGATGCATGCCTGTAATCCCAGCTACTCAGGAGGCTGAGGCAGGAGAATCACTTGAACCTGGAAGGCAGAGGTTGTAGTGAGCTGAGATCATGCCGCTACACTCCAGCCTGGACAAAAGAGGGAGACTCCATCTCAAAAAAAAAAAAAAAAGTTATTTTCTCTTTCATTAAAAAAACCTCATCTATCTGATCTATGTGTCCAACTGTAGGCCCCAAGTCATATTTGAAGATAAAATCTCAGGGATATCCCAGGTCCCTGACAATGGAGAAAGTAACCAGATTACATACAGGGGCAGTGTGAGTCTCCTTCTTAAGCTCTCCTCACACCCCCAGAGCAGCAGCCACCTGCCTTTGGAAGAAGTGAATCATGGCTGGAACTCTAGGCTTGGACCCCTCTCTGAAAGCACGGCTTGGCTTCAGTCATTCTTATCATCCCTTTTAATCACAAATAGAAGCCTTCCAGAGCAATTAGCTCAGCCCCTTCGATTGTCCCCACAGCCACAGACTCAGGCATGCCTGTGCCCTCTTGATGGCTTTTGCCATGGACAATCCTAGGGACAAAAGTAGTGTTTCATGGCAACCCTGAGATGACACACACCTAGAGGTAATTCTACACACAGGGTCAGCACTAGGTATAAATAGCAATGAGGTTTGTCTACATCACCCTCCATTGGCACCTTTATGCCTTTTACATCTTTCCTGTCCTTTCTCTTCTGAACTTATTGCTTTGATACACATAGGCCAGGGATGGTAAATACATTCCGTTTTCAATGCTGACTGTGATTAATCAGTAGGGATCAGTGTATTTAGAAAGATAAAATAGCAGCATGTGAATTCTGGAGTCAATTGCTAATGTCTGCCATGGAGATATTTGCATCTACTCATTCATCCATCTGCCCTAGAAGGCAAGATTGTGTGTTATTCAGCTTCAAATCTCTAAGTATTAGTGCCCAATTATGTATTATAGTTGAACGGCACTAAAGTGGAATCTTTAATGTCTGACTTTAATCTGTAGCAACTGTGGAATCTTTAATGTCTAACTTGCTTGTTTTCAGCTCTGCCCAAATTTCAGCTGTCATGGAATGAGTGATGTAATATAATGGAAATGCATCATCTCAGTTTCCCCATGGCCTGAATGTGCATACAAGATGAGAACCAGTACAGGAAAAGACAGGATGTGAGGAGTTTTTAAAAATTGAGGAAATATAGAAGGAAAGTAAGGATGAAGGTGAAGATGAAGGAATGTCAGAGATGCCAGCACCAGCATCCCCAAACACATAGTACCATGTCCTGCTGAAGAACTCTTTAGAACATACATATAAATGGTATGTGCAGTGGTATGCTGCAGCAGACTTAAACAAACTTGCAAGAGCTACTTGTTAAATTTTCAGGAATTTTGTGAGTCAGTTGACATCATGTTGGTAGATTGAAATTAGCTATGATAACAGTATTTATACCATAGGAATGAGCAAAGGCTAAAACATTTGCTAGTACGTCATTGCATATATGACCCACAAACTCTGGATGTAGATAGGAATGAAATCATTAGTCCCAGTTGATAGCATCCAAAATAGGCTAAGCTGTCTTCAGTTTTGAGTCTCTGTGGGGAAGTAGAACTGGCGCTCTGGTTACTCTTCATGCCCACTGGGGACCAGTGGTTGCTGTTCTTTTTAGTATTCTGGGATTTGATTGGCCCTCTGATATGATTTGGATGTTTTGTTTCCTCCAAATCTCATGTTGAAATGTAACATCCAGTGTTGGAGACTGGCTTAGTGGGAGGTCACGGAGGTGGATCCCTCATGAATGGCTTGATGCCCTGTCCTCATTGTAATGAGTGAGTTCTCACTCTAGCTGTTGTTTAAAAAAAAAAAGGCCTGGCACCTCCTTACTCTCTCTTGCTCCCACTCTTGCTATGTGACTGCTCACTCCCCCCTGCCACGATTGGAAGAGTCCTGAGGCTCTTCCCAGAAGCAGATGCCGACACTATGCTTCCTGTACATCCTGCAGAACTGTGAGCCTCTTTTCTGTATCATTACCCAGTCTCATCAGAGGCTCACCACTCTCATCAGAGTGGAATAGTGATGTCCTGTCAAACATGGATGGTGGAAAGGGCAGCTGCATGGAGGGCTCTTAGTCTCTTAGTTATTACTTGATACTGTAAATTAGGTATCATGTTGCATTCCTGCAATGGCAATTTGAAGGGAAAATGACACAAGAACTCAAGATCATGTCATTGACTTAGGAATGCTTTTTTACTCCATTAAAATGAGCCCCAGAGGACAGGCCCAAGCCTACACGGGCAGGATTCTGTTGGGAAACTCACCTGAGGTGGCTGGGAAGAAAGGATTTTCTCACTGTGGCTCAGATGATTTCTTAGTGTAACTCTTTTCTTCTCTAACAAGGGTGTAGATGGCAAAGTCTATACCCTTTGTGAGAAAAAGAGACTTCAGGATTGCCAGATTGCAGCTACTGTCTCTCCTTGGAGCAGGATTCCACCTTTTCCATGGCTGGGGCCGTTGACACATGTCACTATGCACTGCTCTTCCTGCTGGGGTGAGGAGTGGGGGTGCTGGTAGAGACCGTGAGAAGGTCCTGAGAAAATGACTGATTTGGAGGCCATTCCTTCATTATACCATGCTAGGGGCAATCTAGAGACTCCTCCTTTGCCAGGTCGTGAATTTGGAACCATGGCTGAATGAGACCACAGGACTGTCCTGCGCACTGACAATGTCATTGATTCAGAGGAGCAGGTATGTGTTTAGTGAGGATAGCAGCAGGGAAAACTAGAGAAGCACGATAGATAAAATGAATGCAAGAAGGACCAGTCTCTAGAAAGGGGAGAGGATGATAGAAAGATAACCCTTGAATAGTGTCTTCTCACTTCCTGAAGTATTTTCAGAGCTTCAGTGATATTCAGTCCTCTCTCATAATTTCCACCACCTCTCCTTTCTTTCCATGTACTTTATTGTTTATTTAATATTGTCTTTAAAATCGCTCACTTAAAAAAAAACCTACTCAGCTTCATGTTAAAAACAGAATTCGTGAAATCATAGGTTGATAGGTGAGTTTTAGTTTCTCTAACATATATGACTATAAAGACATGACTGTTAAAATGGAAGACCCTTCATGCATCCACTCCTGAAGTCATGGTGGGTCCCCATGCTGCACCAGGATGGGAGTAATGGTCTCCATGGACAGAGACAGATGCCACTTAGAACGAAGCTGCAGAAAGCACCGGATTTTGTATATCTGTAATTCATCAATGCCTCCCCATCTCCTGCCCAACTCACATAACATCAACTAACAGTGGTTGCTGTGGCATTCATTCACTGAAGCTCTCATTTGGCATCAGACACATTTTCCCCCCTTTTGAAATGCCTCAGGCATGTGAACAAGAGTGAGAGCCACCTGCTCTCTGTCAGATCAGGTGTTGCGTTGTCAAGAATGGAGTTGCTGCCTGCCTAATGTACTACAAGGTATTCCACTTAAAAACAGGGTCTCTGAAGGGAATAATCGTAGAATAAGCTATTTCCCTCTATCTAAAATGAAGGAAGAAAAATATCGAGAAGAAATACATATTTCTGCTCTGTCCTCTGCCTCCTCCTTTTCGTGCCACTTCTCTTGTCTGTTCCTGATTTTCTTAATCCTTTTCTCACGATGTTGTCTCCTCATCTTAACCCAAAAATATGAATCTAACTTCTATCTTTTTGTTTATAATAGGACACATTTTCCTGGTAGATGCTTAAGCCTGATATGCACTTTCTTGGTGGCATAAATCACTTCTGGAAGGGGACTGTGGGGCATAAATCACTTCTGGAAGGGGACTGTGGGGCAGGTCTCAAACAAAAACCTTAACCATCAGCTTCTAATGGTGGTCTTCGCTGTCTGATGGGATTATACGTCCACTAGGGGGCGCTCTTCCCTTTAAATGTCAAAAATTGTATCTGCACTGGAAGTCAATATTGCAACAGGAACAATGGAAATGTTTATTTCCTTTCGGAAATAGCTGCTACTGAGCACAGCTCTGGGAGGAGATTATTAAGGATATACCAGTTGCAAAGAAAATACTTGGTTGTAGCAGCATATTCTACTATTGTAGACATAATGTCAACGAACAGGGGTGGCCGTAGTTGCTGTGGGATTCCTGATGTAGTGACTTCTAGGAGATCCTTTCCTACTCCCAGTGCCAGCTAGCAAATTTCTCTCTCTAAATTCAACCCGGAGTCAAGGTATCCTTCTCAATCATTTCACAATCATTTGGGCCTGTAATCTTTCTAGGTTGAATTCTAGGTTTGATTTGGTGACTTTCAATCTGGTGAGATTTCCAAGTCCTAACCCTTCACTGCTCAAACAAGGAAACAGGCACAGAGAGGTAGAGCAGTGTGTCTAGACCACACAGCACAAAGGGGCAGATCTTCTGATACCATGTTTCCAGTTACTTCACTTCTTAGATGTCTGTGTCGTCATTACAAATACCTTCTTCCAGCTTTCAATAGTGTCTTTTGTCAGTAAGACTGATTTAGTCTTTTCAGACTTGACAGGATTCACTGTAGCACTGAGCTTGTTATATTTTACTGTAGACATAAGGTGATGGTAGCTTTTATATACTTGGGCTACTGGAGAGTTTTTTCAAATAATTCACACATATTGAATTTTAAGTGAATGACATTTGCTGGGCTCTTAACACATGAACCACCGTGACCAGGAGATAATAAAAGAGAACAGAAGAGCACTGACTGTCTCAGCAGCCATGGACTGATTTTTGAGTTCTGGCCACATCTTCAAGAATGAGTTACTTTGGACAAAACTACTTAATCTTCTTTGGGTTTCCATCATCTTTTCTGAAAAGGCTAATAGCATAGAAACATGGATTGAGCCAGAGACTTTCTGTGGATTATTTTGTTTACTCCCTGAAATAGTTCTCAGAGGTCAATACAATTCTCATTGTCCCCATTTTACAGAAAAGGAAACTGAGATCCAGAGAGGACAAGTGAATTTCCCAAGATTGTCCAGTTGATACGGAGCTGAGCTGGAAAGTGAGTGGATCTCTCTGGTTCTGAAAGCTTTGCTCACAAGCACAGGATGAGACCTCCACTCAATCATAAGCACTGAGACCCTTCCACAGACTCAGCAGGTCCTGCTGTCCCTGAAGCTTGACACTCTCATTTCGAACCACAGAGAGAACCTAAAAAGGAAACAGTGGAAGGAAAATAATATGATATTTGAGAGGCAGTGTGGATTATCGGGGGACATGGGTTCCCTTCTCTCCCACACACACATGGCATGATGCTAAGCAGGTCACTTCACCTCTCCAGGGTTGTTTCCTCAATTGAGAAATGAGGGGGTTGAGATGTGTACCAGCCCTGGGGTGCTCAATGCTGCAGTCTAGGGTGGTGTGGACTGAAATCAGAATGCTTTCTCTTCCGCTCTGGGTGCTGCCACATGATCTCTCGTTCTCACTCCCCACCCCCAGTCTTGCCCATCTGAGTTTCAGATTATTTTTTCCTTCCTTCTCTTCAATTTCCTTATTGAGGCAGCTCTTTCCTGCTGCCTCTGTCCCCGCCGGAGCTGTCTGAGCCAGTAGAGCCCGTGGAAGCCAAGGGGAACCTGACTTGAATCTTGCTTTCTGACATGCTGGCTGTGGCTTGCTTAGGAACTGAATAAGCGCTTCTTACTCCTGTGTTCACCACAGTGGAACTGTGGGTGCAGAAATGTAACTCTCAACCAGCCCAGTTTAATCAGCAAAAGACAACAGAGCTTGCAGGCGGTGTCACGTTGGGTCTCTGAACACACCATGGCTGCTGTCGCCCTTTTCATCAAAATGATTGAAAACATATTTCTAAATAGAATTGAGGGTCTCTGTCTAAATCAAACCGCTGTATTGGTCTTATTGTCCCGATCTGAAGTGCTTCAGCTTCTAGTGCACGGTGGCTTCTCAATAGAAGTTCATTATTGTTGCCGATGATAACAACTGTATAGATGCACAGAAAAGAAGTTCATTCAAACCAAGCGAGAATGAAAATTGCTCTTGTTCAGCAGCTCTACCAGCCCTGCTTTCCCTTTCTGCTGGAAAGGAAGTTGAATTTAAAAGCTTATCTTGGTTCGATTTTCTTTTTCCCTAAACGAAAATAGAATAGGTATTTAGCTTGAAAATTTGAAAGAGCTCAATTCAATTGGTTAACAAAACCCACAGACACACACGTACTTAACGTGCACATCTTAACATCCTCATTATTTAAAATCTCAATCACCAGAAATGATCCCCAAAATTGTAAGACTCCAATACACGATTGAACAAAGGACATAAACAGATGATTCATAAGGAGGAAAAACACATAACAAGAAATATTCAACACACAGAGAATAGAATACTGTAGGTGCTAATCAAAATATCAAAGATTTTTTATTAGAGCAAAAGAGGTCCTTACTTTTGTATAATGATTTCCCAGAAAATACATGAAATTCACTCACGCTCTCCCAAATCAACATTACTGTCTATGGAAGAAACGATACAACCAAGCACACAGATCCCAGCCTCTGCTGGGAAAATCCTGTGTAAATCCACCATCTTTTTTGTTTCTTAAGTTCTTCCTTGGTAAAAAGTTGTTTTGCTCACGCCTGTAATCCCAGCACTTTGGGCAGCGAAGGCAGGCAGATAACTTGAGATCAGGAGCTCGAGACCAGCCTGGTCGACATGGTGAAACTCCGTCTCTACTAAAAATACAAAAATTAGTTGGACATGGTGGCAGGTACCTGTGATCCCAGCTACTCGGGAGGCTGAGGCAGGAGAATCGCTTGAAACCGGGACGTAGAGGTTGCGGTGAGCCGAGATTGCGCCACTTCACTCCAGCCTGGGCAGAAGAGTGAGACTCGGTCTCAAAAGAAAAAAAGAAAAGATTGTATTCAGACTCTGAAATTTCACAATTCTCTCCAGGTATGGTTTTTCTTTGCCCAAAGTCTTTAAGTCTTCACTAATAGATATGTAGACACCTAACAAGTATTAGACCTGAAAGTGTTCTTCAAAGCATAGAATTCAGATGGTGATTTTACAGCTGAAGAGAGTGAGGCTCACATTCTGAAGGTGCAAATCAGACTCTCTTTAATGTAAGTGTTTTTCCTTGGGGTAATGGTCAATATCCATCAAAATCCAGGTGGCACATGCTTGATGCCCTTCTGAAAAGATTTAGTCTGCCTCACCACTGGGTTTAGCAGGGCAGAGCCAGGGTCTCAGAATACACAATGAGCTGCCCAGGTGAAAGAAGATCATACTAGGATTTCTGCTTTCTAATGTATCTTGTCTTTTTTAAGTTTTCATTTTTCTTACTGTTATAATTTATAGGTTAGTAGAGTACTTTACTTCTTGGGGATACCTAATTAAAGTTGTTTTGCTGGTAGGATAATGTTAAAAAAAAGTTTGCAGGCAGCTAGAACAGAGAGGGATGTGAATGTGTCTGATCTTGTGCAATTCAGGAAACAGGGCCTGCAGGGTGAAGGGGAGAAGCAAGGCTGGCTATGGTCAGAGGAGATGACCAGCAGAGCTCCTGATAGAGGGGAGGAGTCAACTCCACAGGCTGCGTTGAGCTTAAGACAACTGAAAAATTCTGCTGAATCACAAGGACGTGCTGACATGCTGGGGAACACGCACTATTTTTTGAAGACCATCTTGCCAGAAAAGGGCCTTTGTGACTGCTCAGGTCCTGTCCTGGCACCGTGGGCTCAGGATCTCAGGACTCAGCTTGTGGGGAGCAGGGGACTGTGACATGCCGAGCCAAAGGTCCCATGGAGATGGTTCCAATTGGGAGTCAGTGGCAGAGATGCCAAGACAAGCTAAGGGGCACGGCAATCTGAGCATCCAAGCCACCTAGCACAGACACAGGGACAGGCAAGTGAACTAGAGACCTTAGCGGGCTTGTCAGAGGGAAAGCGGAAGGCAGCAGGGGCCCAGACGCAAACTCCCTGTGTCAGATAGAGCTGTGTGCAGTGGAAATGAAGGCAGAACCAGAAAGCCTTACAGGTAATGTTCAGTGGAACTCCATTAAGTCCTTCAAGTCGTCTTGGCACCGCTGAGCCAGATATTAGAGAGGACACACAGTGCACTTCTGAGCCTCGCATTTGTCTCTCTTACCGATCAAAATCTCTGGACAATCAGCTTGCACATTTGTTCTTTTATTCCCAAGGAGAACATGAGGAAAACACATAGATATTGCCCAAATGTATAATTTACCAGGTTAAAAAAAAGCCTAATGGCTTTCCGATTATGTCTAGTGTCCCAGCCGCTTCTGTCAGGAGTGCAGGTGTAAGTAATCTCACGTGCCTCTGGTCCGGTCTCCTTGTGGGGGTCCAGTACCCGACCCATCTTGGGAGATGCTGCTATTCCAACCTCAGGATCTCCTAATGGAGTTGAGATGTGAGGCCGAATCGAATTCACCCTCCTTCTCCTTAAAGCTAGTGCAACTCACAGAAAGTTAAGTGCCAAATGGGAAACAAACTGTCAGTTTTCCTAACAGGCGGGCAGGTGCATCTTAACTTCCAAGACTTTTTTGGGAAGCTGGAGAGGAGAAAGTGACTTAGACCTGAGGACAGAGGAGATCTACCTGCTTCTCTAATTGTAAACCTTGAGCCTGGCTGTTACCTGGACTGTAGCGCACAGGGGTGATGCTGGGCAGGTACAGCTCCCAGCACTCCTGCTATGGACAACCTCACCTGCTAGAAGCTGACCCAGTCACAAACTACCTAAGTTTGTAGCTGAAGCTGTAGCACCTGTTCTAGAACACAAGAATCCGAAGAAGAGATGGGCTGAAGTTAGCACTGATTTTCTTTAGAAATATTTATAGAAACTATAACATTTCCGAGTTATCTAGAAATGTTATTTTTGATTTGTTTGGTTTTCTGATTTTTTTTCCTTTATCTCAAAATTAAACATTTTGAGATAATTGTAGATTCACGTGCACTTTTCAGAAATAACATAGAGAGATCCCTGTATCTTTCACCCAGTTCCTCCAACTTGGTAATATCTTGCCAAACCATTGTACTATTTCATAGTGGGGCACTGATATAGATACCATCAAGATACAGACCATTTCCTTGGCAACAAGAATCCCCCACATCCACTTCCCTCCTGCACCCACCACTTTCTTAATCCCTGGCAACCACTATTCTCTGTAGCTATAATTTTGTCTTTGCATGAGTGTTATATAAATGGAATTATGCAGTATGTAACCTTTTGGGATTACCCTTTTTTTTTCTTTCTTTTGAGACAGAGTCTTGCTCTGTTGTCCAGGCTGGAGTGCAGTGGTATGATCTCGGCTCACTGCAACCTCTGCCTCCTGGGTTCAATTGATTCTCCTGCCTCAGCCTCCGGAGTAGCTGGGACTACAGGTGCGCACCATCACGCCCAGCTGATTTTTCTATTTTCAGAAGAAATGAGGTTTCACCATGTTGACCAGGATGGTCTCCATCTCTTGACCTTGTGATCTGCCTACCTCGGCTTTCCAAAGGTGCTCATGGGGTGACAGGCATGAGCAACTGCGCCCAGCCAGGATTGCCCATTTTTTTATTTGCAGCATAATCCTCTGAAAGTTGTTGCATGTATCAATAGCTTTTAAATTTTTATTGCTGAATAGTATTCCAGGGTATGGGGTACCACAGTTTGTTTAACCAACCACCTGTCAAAGGATACCTGGGTTGTTTCTAGTTTGGGTTATTGCAAGATGCTATGGACACTGATATACAGGTATTTTTGAGAATGAATGTTTGTATTTCTCTAAGGTGAATATCCAGAAGGGCATTTGCTTGGTCATATGATACATGCATATTGATTTTTTTTTTTTTTTTTGAGATGAAGTCTTACTCTGTTACCCAGGCTGGAGTGCAGTGGCACAATCTTTGCTCACTGCAATCTCTCCCTCCCGGGTTCAAGTGATTCTCCTGCCTCAGCCTCCTGAGTAGTTGGGATTACAGGTATGTGTCACTGCACCTTGCTAATTTTTTGTATTTTTAGTAGACGGGTTTTCACCATGTTGGACAGGCTGGTCTCAAACTCCTGACCTCAGGTGATCTGCCTGCCTTGGCCTCCTGAAGTTCTGAGATTATAGGCGTAAGCCACTGCACCTGACCACTTTGGTTTAAAAAAAAGCAGACAGTTTTTTTAAAGGTTGAGTTTTGAGAGTTCTTAATATATATATTCTAGATGCTAGTTCTTTGTCAAATATGTGATTTGAAAATCTTTTCTCTGTCTATAGCCTGTCTTTTCACCCTCTCCATAGTCTTTCACAGAGCAAAAATTTTTAATTGTGATGCAGTCTTATCAATTTTTTCTTTTATAGATCACACTTTTATTGTTAACTCTTAAGAACAATTTGTCTAGCCCTAGACCCCCAGGATTTTTTACTATGTTTTCTTGTAAAAGTTTTAGTTTTACATTTTACATTTAAGTCACTTTATATTTTGAGTTAATTTTTTAAATTTAGGTGTGAGAATTAGGTTGAGCTGGGTTTGTTGTTGTTGTTTGTTTGTTTGTTTTTAACCCATGAATTTCCATTTGTTCCAGCACAATTTGCTGGAAATATTTTTCTTCCATTAAATTGCTTTTGTAACTTCATTGACGATCACTTGGGCATATCTGCATGGGCCTATTTTTAGGTTTGCTCTTCTGTTCTATTGATTATTGTGTCTATTCTTCCACCAGCATCAGTCTTGGTTACTGCAGCTATATAATAAGCTGAAAATCAGGTAGACAGATTCGTCTTATTTTGTTCTTCCCTTTCAAAATGGTTTCAGCTATTCTAGTTCATTTGTCTGTCCATATGCATTTTAGAGTAGTCTTGTCTGTATCTACAAAGAAATCTTGCTATGGCTTTAATAGGAATTTCATTAAACCTGTATATCAATTTGGCAGTCAGTTAGTACCTTTGCTACGGTGAATCTTATGCTATGGTATGTCTCTCCATTTATTTAGATCTTTGATTTCTTACAGTATTTTGTAGTTTTCAGCATACAAGCCCTGCGCATATGTTAGATTTGCAATTACATTAGTTTGCAATATCTTCTGTAACAAATGCTACAAGCTGAACGGCTTAAACAACAGAAATTTACTTTCCCACAGTTCTAGACGCTAGAAATCTGAAATCAAGACATCAGCACGGTTGGCTCCTTCCTAGAGCTGTGAGGGAGAATCAGTTCCAGAGCCCTCTTCTTGGCTTTTGGTTGGCTGTCTTCTCCCCATGTCTCCTCACATCACTTTCCCTCTGTGCACTTCTGTCTCTGTGTCCCAGTTTCTCCGTTTTATAATGGTGTTGTCATATTGGATTAGAACCTACCCTAATAACCATATTTTAACTTTACTCTGGTAAAAACTCTATCTCTAAGTAAGACCATATTCTGAGGTATGAGGTTTAAGATCCCAACATATCTTTTTGGGATGAGAGGGGCAAAGTATAACAACACCTAAGTAATTTATTTATTTATATATTTGTGGAACAATTTTGAGTGGTATTGAATTTTCAATCATGGTGTCCATATTGAATATGAAACATATTCAACATTGGTCATCAGGGAAATTCAAATTAAAACCACAATATGATATAATTTAACACCTAGCATGTTAGCTAATATTTAAAAAAATTATAATAGCAATTGTTGATGAGAATGTGAAGCCACTGGATTGCTCACATATTGCTGAAAGGAATTAAAAATCTTACAACCACTTTGGAACAAATTGGAAATTTCTTATACATTTCAACACATACACTTATTACATGACCCAGCAATTCCATTCTTAGGTATTTAACTAGGAGAAGTAAAGACATGTGTTCACATAAAGGCCTTTAAACGTATGTTCACAGCAAATTCAGTAATAATAGCCAAGGGCTGGAAACAACTCAGATAGCTATCTTCTAATGAACGGATTAACACACTGTGGTCTGTCCAAGTAGCAGAACCCTACTCAACAGAAAAGAGTGGTGAACTTCTGATACATGAAATAAATGGATGAAAATAAAAATTATTGTGTTAAGTGAAATAAGCCAGATGCAAATGTCTATATGACGATATGATTCAATTTACGTGAAATCCTAGAAACGGCAAAACTATGGAGAGGAAATGTTCAGTGTTTGCCAGGGATTCAGGGTAGAGACAGGGCTTTAGCTACAAAGGTACATGCAGGCACATGTTGAGAGTGATGCATGTGTTCCATATCTTGTCTGTAGCGGTGGTTGCATAGCGATAGGCATTTGTCAAGACTCATCTAATACAGTACCCTTTAAACAGGTGGATGTTTTTGTAGGTATATTTTAAAAGCATTTTAAAAATCACATCAGGAAATTTTGTTAAACATGACGGATTGAATAGATATGTTATCTTTGCTTCTTTCTGAAATCCTATGGAGATGATTGCAGATGAGGTTGGAGAACATTACAATTAGTAACTTCACAAAGTAGAGAAAACTAATGCCTAATCACCAGTCAACAAGAATGTAAATAAAATCCAAAATCATATTATCATTAGAAATCAAGAGAGCCTAAGGACTAGAGGGGCTGGTGAGCTTTGAAAGGCAGGGCAAGAGGTGGCGTGGATATGAAGATGACAGACTTAGAGTTAGACCTTCAGATTTCTCATTCATCTGCATACTCAGTAGCATCTCATCCCCCAACCTAGCAGGCAATAGAGATTTATCTTCCTGAGCAACGGATCCAGAGAGACTCTGGACTTTGGTTCATCAGGGACAGTTGAGTAGGGAAGTGAGGAAAGAGGCAAAACAAAGGGTGGGCTAAAAGTGTCTATCCTGAATGGTGAGACACTCAGCCTCAACCTCCTGGGCCCAAGTGATCCTCCCACCTCAGCCTCCCAAGTAGCTAGGACCACAGGCATACACCACTAATATCTACATCTCTTAATCAGTTCTCAGATGCTAGCAGCAAGGTCTATATTTACACCAGCCAGGAGATTATATATATATATATATATATATATATATATGTTTTGTAGACCAACAGAAAGAAAGTACACAGAGATACTGACATGTCTACATCCCTCTAAGAAATGGGTAGGGATGCCCTACATTAAGACTGGCTAGTTAGCAAGCCCCACCCACGTGGTGTTTTTATGCCGTATTCCAACTACAAATGAATAGCTAGGAATAAACCAGACATCTGAGGAAATCCCCTATGTGAAAGAAGGAGATCAAACTATTTTAACCAGAAAAACAGAACTTAGAATAAATAGAGGTAATTTTAAAAGACCAAAAAAAAAAAAAAAAAGTAACAAGTTATTTTTAAAGACTCTAAAATATTCTCAGAGAACTAAAAAAAGATTTCACAGTCATTAAACAAGAAAATATTATTAAAAAATTGTTTCTTTTTATATTAAAAATGACATAGTAGGACAGGCACAGTGGCTCACATCTAATACCAGCACGTTTGGAGGCTGAGACAGATGGATCACTTGAGGTCAGGAGTTCAAGACCAGCCTGGCCAACACAGTGAAACCCCATCTCTACTAAAAATACAAAAATTAACCTGGCATGGTGGCGTGTGCCTGTAGACTCAGATACTTTGGAAGCTGAGGCAGGAGAATCACTTGAACCTAGGAGGCAGAGGTTGCAGCGAGCCGAGATTGCATCACTGCACTCCAGCTTAGGTGACAGAGGGAGACTCCGTCTCAAAAAATAAAATTTAATATTCATTTATTACAATACCTAGCAAATGCCCTCCTGGGCATTCATCTTAGAGAAACTGTCTCTTTCTCTCTCTCTTTAACTTTGCTTTGTCTTTCTTATTATTTATTTATTTGTTTGTTTGTTTTTGAGATAGAGTCTTGCTCTGTTGCTCAGGCTGGAATTCAGTGATGTGATCTCGGTTTACTGCAAGTTGGACAAACTACAAACTTACAGTTTCATTGAACACATTAGGGAGCTGAGAATACAAGGAAACCTGGGTGAACTAAAATTCAGAAGGTAGCGAGCTCTTCATGAGACACTTATTTATGCCTGCTTTTGTTCCTGATAGAGTGTCAGAAGGAGAGGTAACCCACCATAGATGAGAGGAGGAAAATGCCTGCTGAGCTTTTAACAATCAATGGTCACAAGTGAGCTACCTTAACAGAGTAGAAACTTGAGGGTCCCCAGTTGTAGGTAAGGCAGGAGCACTGGGAGAAATTGCCTATGAGGCATGCAAGTCTTTCCCGGAGGCAAGGCAGCAACTGCTGATGGCTGAGCATTAGGAATGAGAAATCCATTTTAAATATAAAGATTCACAGAGGCTAGAAGTGAAAGGATGAAAAATGGTACCATGCTAACAATAATCAAAAGAACACAGGAGAGGTTATACAAATATCAGATGAAATGTATTTTAGAGCGAAGAATATTACCTAGGAGTAAAGAAGGCTATTTTATTTTATTTTTAGGTGGTATGAACTCCAAGGCCATTTTAAGATGGGCAGAGAGAAGTTTGTTTTTTTGAAAACAGCTGTTGAAATCAAGAACTAAAAAGGTTTTCCTAAATAAAAATATAAAATGTGTTTTGATTAAAAGTTACCAAATACTCCCTGAGATGTACTCTCATGTCTCATGGAGATTCTTGTTTTCTGGTCCCCATAAAAATTCCATGCCAATATTTTAAACTCTCCCCGTTGTGTTCATCCTCAGCATACAGATGTTTTTTATTCAAGAAGACTATTTTATAAAGGCTAAGGGGTAGATTCATCAATAGGGCATATCATTCCTAGATGTTTATGTTACCAATAACATAGCTTCAATACACAGGAAGCAAAAACAACTACAAGAAGAAATAGACAAATCCATAATTATAGTCAGATTTCAGCATCCATCTCTCAAAAACTCATGAGAGAAGTAGGCAGAAAGTCAGTAAGGATAGAGAAGACCTAAGAAACAGTGTCAATCAACTTGGGCTAGATGACATTTACAAAAGCCTCCACTCAACAGCAGAGTACACATTATGTTCAAATGTAAGTGGAACCTTTACCAAGATCAACCATGTTTGTAGCCATGAAATAAATTTCAGTAAATGTAAAAGATTCAAGTGATACAAAATATGTTCTCTGACTGGAATAAAATTAAATTAGAAATTAGTAATGAAAAATGTCTGAAGAAATCCTCAGTTATCTGGAAACAAAATAACAGAATTCTGAATAAACTGTCAAAATCAAAAGAAAAATTAGAAAGTATTTTGTAATGTAATGGAAACACAATGTAACAAAATTTGTGGAATGCACCTAAAACAGTGTTTAGAGTAAAATTTATAACTTTAAATGCTTATATTAGAAACACACAAACTCAATATTTTGTCTTCCCACCTTAAGAAACTAGAAAAAGAAGAATAAATTAAGTCCAAAGTAAGAAGAAAAGAGAAAATAATGAAAATAAGAAGGGCAAGAGGTGGCATGGATATGAAAAATAAGCAGGAATCAATGAGATAGAAAATAAATAATAGAGAAAAATCAATAAAATCATTTGTTAATGCAATTGGTAAATTCTTAGACAAATGAGGAAACAAAAATAGAAAACAAATTACCAATATCAAGAATGAAAAAAAGAATCATTGCTGTTCCTTCAGATATTTAAAGGGTAATAAAAATATTCAGAATAATTTTATACTAATAAATTCAATAATTAGATAAGCCAAATTTCTAAAAAAAAAAAAAAAAAAAAAGCACAACTTACCAAAATGGACACTAGAAGAAATGAAAAGTATAAATAATCCAATACCTATTACAGAAACTGAAATTATAATTAAATACCTTCTTTTTTTTTTTGAGATGGAGTTTCGCTCCTGTTACCCAGGCTGGAGTGCAATGGTGCGATCTTGGCTCACCGCAACCTCCGCCTCCTGGGTTCAGGCAATTCTCCTGCCTCAGCCTCCTGAGTAGCTGGGATTACAGGCACGTGCCACCATGCCCAGCTAATTTTTTGTATTTTTAGTAGAGACGGGGTTTTACCATGTTGACTAGGGTGGTCTCAATCTCTTGGCCTCGTGACCCACCCGCCTCGGCCTCCCAAAGTGCTGGGATTACAGGCTTGAGCCACTGCACCCAGCTTAAATACCTTCTTTTGTAAAAGCTATACATTCAAATGATTTCACTGGTGAATTCAACCAATAATTTAAAAAAATAATATCAATCTTACACAAACTCTTTCAGAAATTAAAGGAGACAGGAATGCTTCCCAACAGTTTATGATACTTAACCTGGCAAAGATATGGCATGAAAAGAAAACTAAAGACTAATACTGTATAAACATAGAGGCAAACATTATTTCAGAATATTAACAACTCAAATTCAGAATATTTAAAAATAATCATATATCATGGCTCAGAGGTTGGTTTAAGATTCTAATGGTAATTAATATAATTCATCGCAACAATATACTAAAATAGAAAACCCATATGATCACCTCATAGATGCAGAAAAAATAATTGAGGTTAGGTGCAGTGGCTCATGACTGTAATCCTAGCACT